TTTTTTCTTTTTGCTTATGTGGTGCTGAGGAATCAAACCCAGGGCCTCATGCATGCAAGGCAAGCGCTCTACCACTGAGCCACCTTCCCAGCCCCATCCCAAGTCTTTTATACTACTATAACCACACGATTTGTCTAATGCCTAGAACAGAAAAAGTGTGCTATAAATGGTACTTTATTTGATTTTGTTCTGTGTCTGTTTGTCCTGCTCAAACTACAAACACCTTGAGAAGCTGTTTCCTGTACTGCTTTATTTTCCTAAGGTTAAGTCCATATTGCTTATGTCTTGATGTCATCAAGAGAACTGGAACATGGATTTTAAAAAGATTTGGAAGTCCATTCAGAAAACAGGAGGTGGTCAATACTGAATCTGAAGAAAGTTACATAAGTTACTAAGGTCAGATAGCTGGTAGCAGGTATTCTGACTGGTATTCTGACTTCTGACAATTTCAGTTTCTTCCTTTACTACAATCAACTGCATTCTGCACAGGCTTCTACTTTCTAAATGCTTTCAGCCTTTACTACTGCCAGTCACATATGGCTTAAAGAAGGCAGTCTAAACTAATATGGAATCCAACCAGATTTAACTTAACAAAAATAAGCAGACAATCAGGAAATGGAAACAAGAGGCTTTTCTTCTTTGTTTTCCTTTCTTTTAACCTTGTTTGTTCCTATTTGTCTTTGGGCAGGTAAGGAGGAGCTCAGAAATGGAGGGGACAAAAAGTAAAGAAATACAGCAGTGGTACTCACTAGACACTATGTTGAAAATGAACTGTTCAACTTGTAGGTGGGGATGGGAGGGAAAACTGAAAGAGAAGTGACATTGTTCAAAAAGAAATGTATTCTTTACCTGACTTGTATAACAGTAACCCTTCTGTATAGCACCTTCATAATAACAATAAAAACTAAAAAAAAAATTAAGCATACAACAAAGCTGTAAATCGAATATTTGGGGTGGGGGGGATTAACATTGATCAAGATGCCTTGTACCCATAATCTGACTTGTTGAGTTGAATCTTTGTACAACTACTTTAAAAAGCTACTTTTCTCTAATCTTGAAAAATAATCTCTCTGTGGCAAAGTGAAGATATAAACACTCAATGCCGGCAACAAATAAACACTGGAAAGAAAAATTTAAGTAGTAATCTACAGATTCTATGTAAGTTATATTTATAAAATTTATATAGTTAGTATGGAAACAATTGCCATTGTACTGTTCTCATTCTATTCCCAGTACACTAGACATAGTAAAAGGAATAAAAAACAGTAGAGGGCTGGGAAGGTGACTCAGTGGTAGAGTGCTTGCCTTGCATGCATGAGGCCCTGGGTTCGATTCCTCAGCACCACATAAGCAGAAAGAAAAAAGGCCCGAAGTGGCGCTGTGGCTCAAGTGGTTGAGCACTCGCCTTGAGCTGAAGAGCTGAGGGACAGCGCCCAGGCCCAGAGTTCAGGCCCATGACAGGACCCCCCAAAAAAAACAAAAAACAAACGAAAAAAGCAGTAGAACTTAAAAATCTAAAGAAAGCATACAATAACTTGTAAGTAAGGACGGTATATTAATGCCAACAAAGCATTACAAGTAAATTACAAATTTAGGACAATGAAAACTGAAAACTATAATTATCCACATTTCTGAATAAAGTTTAGAAAACCAAGGCTTATATAGGTGAGGGTGCTTTTGCTGTTGCCAGACTGCTCTTTCTAATCACAGAGAACAAACAAATTTATGAAACAAGGGCTCTAGTTTACTGTAATCATGAGATAGCCAATAAAGGCTCGGTAAAAGCCTATAATAAGTTAGTTGTTAAAACGTATGCAGGTTAAAGAGGGAAATGTCACAATCACAAATAATTATAAACTAAGGCAGAAATGATTAATGCCAAAAGAAGGTAAGTTTACAAGAGCTCCTAAATGCAAAGCACATTACTTTTTAATACACTGTAATTCAATTGAACTCACCTTTAGAGGACGTGACATCTGAGGTCTTCTCTTGTTCTTTGCCTTTCACTAGAATACAAAAGGACATCATGACCATCATGACTCCTGCAGTCAGATATACATCCTACATAGTGTCAAAAAACAGAGAAGCTTGATTTGGACAGATGAGTATTCAAAGCTCGGAAACAATGGACTATGTGACTTAGAGGGGTAAAGGCAGGGCAGCTGTCAGGAAGATTTCTCTAAGGAAATCTCTGAATAGCATTCAGTCAGAAACTTTGGGAGGAACCAGCTGGTTTCTAAAATGATCATATAATCTTTTCTCTATTACACAAAACAGTGAAAATTCTATGGCAGATAAGCTAACAATATGTTAGCCAAGAAAGGAAGGTGAATGGCAGCTAAAGATAGGGGTGAACTTTATTCAGGAATCTGAAAGACTTTTTTACTTTTCTTGTGTTTTTTCTAATATTAAACTTTCTTTAAATCCACATGTAAAGCTTCCCAAAATAAGAAATCTCAAAAATGTGACCATCTGTCTACATGAGGTCTGGATATTCAAAACTGAAAGGAAGGAAATAACTGGCTCTCAGAGTGTATTACTTAAGTCAACCTACTTAAGTCAACAACTACTTGGGAGTCTAGCAAGGCCTAGACTCTGTAAAAAGACTGGCTCAGAAAAGGTAGTGATTCTGCCTTCAAGAAATCTACTTTCAGCTGGCACCAGTAGGTCACACCTATAATTCTACTCAGGAGGCTGAGATCTGAGTATTGAGGTTCAAAGTAGACAAATCTAAGCAGGACAAAGGTGGAGATGTGACTCAGTGGTAAAGCAAGAATGTTATGCCCTGAGTTCAAGCCTGGGTACCAAAAGATACATATGCACAAAAGAAAGAAAGGTATGAAAGCAGGAAAGTAGGAAAGCAGGAAGGAAGGAAGGAGGGAAAGAGGGAGGAAGGGAGGGAGGGGGGGAGGAGAGAGGG